TGGTACCTAACAACAACAACAGGTTTGCTGAGTAAAGAGTGCTATGGGAGGGATAGGTAAAATTGTTTACAAATATGAAATCATGAAATCATCTAGTGCTAAGGAGATTTCAGTCATCCTTCTATGTTTATTCACTGCTTCTTGTTAAGTGTTTTCGAGTCATTTCCGACTCATAGCGACCCTGTATAGGGTTACCCAAGAGTGACTGGTGAGTTTGAAATGTCAATCTTGTGGTTCAAACTGAACTTATGGTCCAGTGCTTATCCTATAGGTCACACCAGGACTCCATTCACTACTTGGTGAGGTATGGGAAAACACTTAAGAAAGCAAATTAGAAATATGGTATTATGTACACATAAAGCCCTTTCGACTGTTTGACCCAGTAACAATGTCCCTCTGAATATAAGAAAAAACAAAAGCACAAAGATGGAAATCTAAAGATGTTCACTGGAGCCCTGTCAGTAATTGACAAAACAGGAAACAACTTCCAAAACTTGTTTGATAGATTATATGCCCCACAAAGGCAGGAGTACTGCCCATCTTTTTATCTCATGTCCCAACACTAAGTAGAGTCTAAAACACTGTATGAATATGTGCAGCATCAATGAAGTAATTAGCAAATGAATGAAAAAATGCTGAACAATGACGCTATAGTTGGAACTGACTTGATGGCACTTAACAAGAACAACAACAATTATAGTGCTCTGGCTAAACAGAATATAGGACAGCCATTAAGAGTCATAATGCAAGAGATTATGTAATAAAAGGTACACAGTCTTAACTATGTGACAAGAGGCAGATTTCAAAAGTAGCATGTATATTATGGAGTTCTGGGCAGTGCTGCAGGATAAGTACTCAACCTCAAGGTCAGCAGTTCAAACTCACCAGGCACTCCTTAGGAACCCTACGTGAGGTCACTATGCATCACCACTTAACAACATACCACCTTCCATCGTGACAAGAACCTTGAGACCCTCATGGGTAAAAACCCAAGTAATAAATGTTGGACTGGTAGAGAATCACCACAGGAAGACACAGTACTGATTGTGGCAGGTCAGATTTACTGAAGGACACTAATGTTACTGGGTAGAAGGATGAGAAAAAGAATGGTCACAAAATATCTTCCCAAGATACCTATAAGATAAAAAAGAAATGCCCAGTGAAGACACCTGACTGAAGCCACTTTAACTAAGTGATGGAAATTAACCTCATCAGTGATAAGATATATTGACATCATGCACCCCAAAATGATACACTGAGAAAGACACATGATTTTTGTTCTATTCTTCCCCAAAATGTATAGCCTCAGTCTACTCATAAGAAACCAGCAGAGAGACCCAAACTGAGGAACATGCTACAGAATACCTGAGCAGTCCTCCCCCGAAGTACTGAGGGGAAGAAAACGAAGGAAAGACTGAGAAACTGACACACACTGGAGGAGACAAAGGAAACAGGAAAATTAAATGCAAGATGAGACGCTAGAACAGAGAAGGGACATGCGTTGACAATCGGAGGAATCTAGAAATAGTTTGCATAGTCCCCATGCTAATTTCTTAATCTGATAATGATGTTGTGGTTATGCAAGATGTTAATAGTTCTTTGACTGTTCTTCCTAAGGGAAGCTGGATGAAGTGTATACAAGAACTCTCTGCATTACTTTTTTGGTGACTTGTCTATAAATTTTTAAAATTATCTCTAAAGGAAAAAAACCAAACAGATCACTAAGTGAAACATCCTGCCACGGATACAATTGTACAAGCAAATCACCACCTAGTGTGACCACATTTTTAATTTTTTTAGTTTCTACCTAGTGAGTGCATTTAATGGAATCTGCTAGGAAGATTCATGAGCTCAGACCAGAAGGTCCCAGGGTTAGGATCTCGGTGTTTCACGTACTGCCTGATTAGCTGGCTTTGAGCACCACTTGCCATGGTGTTGGTTCCCTCAACTACAAGATGGGTGTGATTATCCCATGAAAATGGCATGTGATGATACTCAACAAAGGCTGGCCATTGTGGCTGGTGTCCTCATGGAGCTATTGTGAGGACCGTGGGACTCTGGATGAGAACTGACTGTAAACTGTGAGGCCTGTGTCGATGGGAGGCCTTGTTAGAGTCTTGCCACAGCACTAAAGGACATCACCAAGAGCTGGTGTGTTACTGGTGGTGGTTTTTACCTGCGAGTCTCCATCCAGTGCTGCTTGAGCGTACATCTGCACAGACAATTCTAGGTCTTGTGACTGGTTTTCGTGGCCGTAGTAGTAAAGATCTCCCATTTTCAAATACGCTGCAGGAGAAAAGGGTTCATTTATCAAGAGGATTTTATTTCAAAACTGACATTTTAAGTTACTGGCCTATTGGCAAGACTGAGAATTTTTCTTATCTCTGATTACGGAATGCTTTTATGCTTTCTTGGTGCATTGAGAGAGAGAGAGAGAAAGAGAGAGAGAGAGAGAGAGAGAGAGAGAGAGAGAGAGAGAGAGAGAGAGAGAGGCAGAGAAGACTTATGCCTGAAGCATCCTGGTTTCTACAAACATTCTCTAGTTTTGCTGGGGAGCTTTCCTATATGAGTCTGTTGGTGAGAATCTCAATGTACAACTTCACAGCCCAATCAGTCAAGGTTATTTATGAAATTTTGCTGCTCATATCTGATGTCTCTGGTGGTTATTTCCTTACTCTGTTTGAGCCATGCATTTAATTTTTCCTCTGAAAAAAAACTTACAGTTTTTTTCAGTAAGAGTCAATATTTTGGGAGTTTCCAGGTTGTATGTGCTCTCAGTTGCTGATAGGTTGGTGGTTCAAGTCTACCCAGAGGCCCCTCGGAAGAAAAGTCTGGCAATCTATTTTCTGAAATCAGCGACTGAAACCCCTAGGGAACATAGTTCTATTCTGACACACATGGGGTGCCATCGGTCAATGGCAATTGGCTTATTGGTATCAGTCAATAGCCAACCAAAACCAGAATCCTTGTCCACTAGATCAAAAAGAGGGAGTTTAACATGGGTACAGGTTTCCATGGTTTTGGAAGAGCTGTGGATAAAGGACGGGTAAAGGGTAGTCATGAGGCTACCAGAGTTAGGGGGTGCCAGGTTCCCACTCTGCAATCTCCTGCCCTGGTCACCCCTCCCTGGCATGAACCAAAAGCCCTCAGGCAGGGAGGTATGGGAAGTGTAGTCTTGGAGTTCAGCCCTGTCCCAAACAAAGCAGAGCAGGTGAAGGAAGGAATACACCTGAGGAGAGAAGGACAAATCACTGGTCCAGGAAATCTCTCCATCACTGCTCTCTCTTTTAGCTCCTCATTGATTCTGATGCAGAAATGTTGGGTCCATGCACAGGACAGATAACGAGAAACACACTGCGTTTGGCTGAGAGCATGGTCTTAATAGCAGAAAATGTTCACTCTCCTTCCTAATTGTTGAGAAATAACACACTTCACACAAAGCTGTTTAGATGTTCCCTGTTACTAAAGATTCAAAGCCTCCAGTGTTTCATTTAGCACCCGTTTTTCTATACATACCAAATGAAGGCGCATCGATTTGAAAAACAGAGAAATTATAGTATCTCCAAACACAATTAACACCCAAGTATCTCTTGGCCAGGTCCTAAGGGGGCAGAAGGGGAAGAAAAGTTATTCCATATTTTGGCCAAGTGATGAATTTTGTCTCCATAAAACCCAATTCATTGTCCTTAACCTTAAAGTTTCTACTCAGAGAAATTACACATTTACTTACTGGCCTCTCCTCACAGATGTGTGCTAAATTTGTCTGTGACACTTCAATTCCAGTTTCTGCTGCTAAAACATAATACAGCAAAGCTTCATGCCTAAAAATAGATGATTAATAATAAATTTCATATAGTGGTTCTTACTAATATTCACAGAGAGCTTTATATTCAAACACAAGAGGCCACAAAATGAGCAGTTTTTCTGGGAGAAAAAAATCCCACAAAATCATGAATCTTTTTTTTTTTTTTAAATAAATACTGTTGTAAAAATACTGCAGGCACTAATTTATCTTCTATTTTAAAGGGTGAACTCACAGATACGTTGGGGAGCTAGTCTGATGCAACAGCTACCTCTACTGGCTGAATGGTGTGTCAGATACTGGCTGGGAGGTTGGCTATTTGAGTCTGCTCCTAGAATCCTTCCATCCTCCTTAGAAAATCAGTGGCATTAAGAAAAATACCCCATGCTTTAGAGCCTTCTGTTTTGTGAAAGGCATTATTATGGGGCTTAGGATTCTGAATAAGCTCACGGTCATTAAAGTTGAGCTTTTGAGTGCATTAGAAGTTTGTCAAAGGCAAGCAGTTTATTAAGAGACTTGGTACAGCCAGTTAAAAAACATGGGAAAAATGCAAATGTTTGGCATTGATTTATTTATGAAAGAAATCAATGTTGGGCAACAATAGTAAGTGAGAAGTTGCAAAATATTGAGAGACCACTTTTTGTCTGATAAAGATTGGTAAAAGATTGATAATGAAGAGTCACAGCACGTAATGGAGAAATGAGATGGACCTGCTCCTACAGGCATTGCTAAAGGGAGAAGCCGGGGAAAGCAATGGTTCTGGAGACCAATACAGTCACAGCAACACCAACTGTCCTACCCATGTATATAACATGTGCCCACGAGTCTCTCTGGTGGGGTTTATTCTAAAGAAACAAGCAGAGAGACATGGGTGAAGATTCCGCTGCCAAGCAGTTCACGGTAGGGCTGTGTCTATGGAAATCAGTGACTAGTGAAATTAGCCTGTGGTATAGCCACTTGAAAGGAGCTCTGGTAGCATAGTGGTTACGAATCGGGCTGCTAACCTCAAGGTCAGCAGTTCGAAACTACCATGTTCGCGGGAGGGAAAAAAGAGGCTTTCTGCTCCGGTAAAGATTCACAGCCTCGGAAACCCTGTGCAGACTCGCTATGAGTCGGAACCGACTCCACCGTCCTTAACAAGAACAACAACAGAGCCACTTGCAGATGTCATCATTGCAAATGGTGTTGTGGATGAGTATTCAAAAACACACAAAAATGTTTATGCAAAACTTTCCATTCAATGCAAAAAAAGAAGAAAAAAAAATGCAGGTCACAAAAGTGTCAATCTTATTTTTTAAAAAAAGAAAACAGAATACACACACACACACACACACACACACACACATATATATGTATATATATTGAGAGAGAGAGAAACTGAAATTGTTTTCTTACCAAAATGCTACCACTTTTATCTCTAAGTGGTAGGCATGCAGGTCATTTTAAAATTTCTTTGTTATACTTATTCTGGTTGCTTAAATGTTCTATGTGTTGCCCAGTTTATGGGTAAGCATTGATTTTAATTATAAATACTGTAATTGTTTTTAAAGCTTATTTTTCACTTTAAGTATTGCTGTTGTTAACTGCCATGGAATCAGTTCCAACTCATTGTGACCTTGTGTAAGATTTCCAAGGCTGGTGGGTTTGAACCGCTGACCTTGTGGCCAACAGTCCAGTGCTGATCCTACAGTGCCACACCAGGACTCCTCATTTTAAGTAGCTGACCTTAATAATTCTTTCTTATTTTTAGTCCCATCCAGAAACTGGTTTGAGGGCAGGCTGGGTAGGAAGATTCTGAATCATTGTTTCTTAACTACTAAAGGCAGCATCTGGCAGAGCATCCTGTGAAAAGAGAGTGAATTGCTTGGGGTCAAATTGGGACAGCCAGCCCTTCAGTCAGACACAACTGCTGATTGAGCACAATCTTGGCCTCCTAGGCAGATGACCAAGTAACCACGACTCAGCTAAAGAGGGGAGCATGGTGGCTGCACAGGATAAGCACTGAACTACAAGGTCAGCGGTTCGAGCCCACCAATCACTCTGCAGGAGAAAGATGAGGGTTTCTGCTCCTGCACAAAGATTTAAAGCTTCAGAAACCCTATACAGGATTGCTTTGAGTCAGAATCAACTTCACGGTACTAAACAATCACAACATGCTAGAGATAGAAGAGGCCAGTTAAGTAGAGTCCCGGTCACAGCCAGTCTAGATAACAAGATCACAACAGCAGCCACAACACCACCGAAGATGCCTACACTTTCTCCCACACAGCCTTCAAAAACTTTGCCGCAAGAATCCTCAGCACAGACCCAAGACCCCAGACAGAGGCTATGCAAGGGAGGCCAGCAGAAAGCCCCCATCACTCTACTGTGGTTCCAGCCCAAAGGCATAATCATCTGAAGGTTTTTCAGAGACTCAGGCTTGCGCCACTTCCTCAGTTTCTCCCAGGGATGGAATGAGGGAGGAGACAGCGTAGACCACTGTTAGGGACGTAGCACCCAAGGTCAGTAGCTCAAGTTATTTATGGAAATATTTTTTAAAATGAGTTTTTCTTGGGCAGCAGAAAACCAATAGAGCTGGCTGTCAGAATTCTGGGGCATCTGTGTGGCTGACACTCCCATGTGGCTGACACAATACGATAAATTTTATAAAGACAACATCTCGTCTCTAAAGTTACCTTGGTCATAGGGAAGAGAGAGGAGAAGCAATTTTATATAGGCCTTCCATTGTCCAATTATTGTATAAACCGGAAAGAAATCGCATAGAATTCTCAAATATTTCTTTTGAGGAAGCACTGAAATCCATCAGAAAAAGACGTTTGAAAAACACAATATGAACCCAAAAAACCTGTCACAGAGACTATTCTGACTCACAGTGACTCTTATTGGGTTTCTAAGACCATACATGGTCCCGGGAGCACACACAGACTCATCTTTCTCCCGTGGAAGGTTGGTGATTTTGAACGGCTGACCTTGTGGTTAGCAGTTCAGTGCTTATCCTACAGCGCCATCAGGGTTTCTTCTGATGTCAACAGGACAGAAATCCACCCCCACCTCCCATCTTGTGGAACCAGTCATCAGATGCCCAGGGTTTCTGATGCCACCAGCATCCATTTGCAGATATTGAGGAGGTGGGGTTAGAGCACAACACCAGATTTTCTCAGCTTGTGAAAACTTCTGAAACAGACGCCCGCTAAGCCTCAACAGCCACTTTGCTGTTATTTAACTGTTTCAACTGAGACCATGTGGAAGTGAGTAGTAACTGTAGCTATTTCTGTACTTAAATTCATGGAACAAGTGTTTGCTGTGCAAGAAATGTAAAGACAAGCCACAACATGGTCCTGTCCTTTGGTGAATTTCCTGAGGCTTTATTTGTAAAATGCACTGATCTTGAAAGCTTGAGTACTGCTATGAAGTGGAGCGGGTTTCAGCAAAGTTTCTGGGCTAAGACAAAAACCAATTAGGACTTAAACAATAATTGTTCCAAGACAGGCATTCTGACAGAAATGGGGTAGAGGCAGTGAAGAGGAAGGAACTTCTAGTAAACAAATAGCTTAGGGCACAAATGGTTAAGCACTTGGCTACTAACTGAAAAGTTGGTAGTTCGAATTCACCCAAAGGCACCTTGGAAGAAAGTCTCGTGGTCTACTTCTGAAAGTACACAACTACTGAAAACCCCATGGAATAAAGATCTACTTGGACATACATGGAGTTGCCATGAGTTGAAATCAACTTGGTGGCAACTGGTTTGTTTTTGAAGGGGTAATTAAGGAGTCCTGGTGTGGTGCTGTGGGTTAATGTGCTGGACTACAATGTCGATTTGAACCGCAAGGTCAGAGGCTCAAGCTCACCAGCCGCTCCTTGGAAACCCTGTACAGGGTCACTGTGGGTTGGAAACAACTCGATGGCATATAACAACAACAACAACAACAAAGGGGCTGCTGGAGTCCTGGTGGTGTAGTGGGTTAAGCATTGGGCTGTTAAGCACAAGGTCAGCAGTTCAAACTCACCAGTTGCTCCATAGGAGAAAAATGAGGCTTCATGCTCCCCACATTGACAATTTGGGGTCATGTAATAAATAGGGTCATTATGAGTCAGGATCGACTTGCAGTGGTGGATCACTGGTAGAATTCTTGCCTTCCATGTCAGAGACCCAGGTTCAATTTCTGGTCAATGATTCATGCACGGCCACCACCTATGTGTCAGTGGAAGTCTGTGTGAGGCTAAAGTACTCAACTGGACTATGAGAGACTAGGAAGAAAGGCCTGGTGGCTGGCTTCCCCAAAAACCAGCCATTGGAAACCCTGTGGATCACAGTGGCTCTGTCCACACCTAAACATGGAGACACCATAGTACTAGGCAGTACTGTGCTATGCTGGGGCTTACCATGAGTTGGGGGACAATTCAATGGTAACTAATAATAACAACAAAGTACAATTGATCCAGGACAATCATTCTGATGAACCTAGAGTGGAGTTGTGGAGAAGAGAGGGTTTATGGAGAAGACATAGCTTAGGGGAACATTTGCTTTCCTTTCCACATTTTAGATGTGGCTCATACATTTACAGAATTTTATAATGATACCTTTTAATAAAGGAGCTCTGGTAGCATAGTGGTTATGAGTTGGGCTGCTAACCTGAAGGTCAGCAGTTCAAAACTATCAGCCGTTCCACAGAAAGATGAAGCTTTCTACTTCCGTAAAGATTTACAGCCTCGGAAACCCTGTGCAGGGTCGCTGTGCGTCGGAACTGACTCCACGGCACACCACCACCACCTTTTAATAATCAATTCTTTAGATTGCATGCTTGCTTTGCATTGTGAAATTGAACACATCAAGTGTTTCTTCCCCCCAAGCAAATGTGTCAGTTTTACTTCTATGTTCTTTCCTGCCAATGCCCCATGCAGCTCGGACTAGAAGATGAAAAACAGCCTGGGGTCTCATTGGAATTCAGGACCCTTGCTCTATCACAAGAAAGGGGAATCTCTTTCAAGGGGAACTTTGCGTACCTACTTGTCTTGCCT